GTCGCTATTCTGCGACAATCTCGTTGAGATCCACTCCAATGCCGCTGGTCCCCGCAGAGCTGCCGCTTTCTCATCTTTGAAATGTTTCCGACTTCCGAAGCTCGGGGAATCCGGGACGACATGATTTAATCCCACGACTCGGCTGATGGAATTGACCAGAATTCTCGGCGGGCGGAGCGACCGACCGTCGAAATCAAATTCGCGATCATTGAATGTATGTCTTCCCGGAACTAATCGTGTTTTTCTTCGATCTTCGGACATAGCTTCTCAATCAGCTGAGTGTCTCTGCGAAATCGATGATCAAACGAGCCTTCGATGGCTATCCGTCGCATTTCAATCTCGCTGGCAGTCCGTGCCGTGTAAACTACATGCAGGACAACATGCTCCCGACATCGCCGGAGAATACCGTGCCTATTGTCAATACCGTACTTTATACCGAAAGGCCGTGGCCGTCTGCGAGCTTTTCAGTCTCGAGACACTAATCGGAAACAGAAATGCCCTGATTCGGACTCTTTTTCCGACCGGGATGATACATCTGGATTCGAATTACACTCATTCTCCATCTGCAGTCGGAATTCCGAGGAACGAGTGCACGTGCACTACTTCACGTTCGTAGAACATCTCGGCAGCGCGGGGAACTCACTCTCGCCGTCCTCAGAGTCGTCTCCCAATCGACGAATTTCTCTACGGGACTTCCGTCTCCGACATTCTCCGATTCTCCGGGATACCTGCTCTGTGCTACCCTTCGTGGAAATCTCCCGACCGATCAGGGCTGGTATCACGAGGAGTATTCGAGGCTCGATGCGGAATCCATCCGGCATTAGCATCCATGATTATAATATTCATTATATTATTGAGCTCACGAGGAATAGCAACATATGTACGAGAAGGCGATTCTATTTTGTTTGCCGGACGCAACCGACCGCTCTAAGTGATTCTCGAATCGGTGAGCAGTCTCGTAGACGTGCCTTACGGCCGCTCTTTATTGATCCAGACAGATTTCCATCGCGTGCATTGAATACACCAAGAATTGGCATGCTGCATCATTGTCGTGACTGTTAGACCAGGGAAAATTGATGAAGTTATTCATTGTTTCGATGGAGCATTTATCACGGGTCCAAGCGTGGAGACGAGAATCAGGCCGGAGTTCGAGAAATCTGGATTCCTAATTGATCCGCGCACCGAGTGTCTCTGCAAATGAAGACATATTTCCTCGACACGAAATTGGGTCGAATATTCCGAAGATAAGAATCTTGCGTGCGTGACAAAGTCAGAGTTCGCACTCAAGAGATGCTTCCGCTCCAAGAAGTTCGTGTCGGGCCTCACGCGGCCCAGTCTCACGCGATGCTTTAAAGCGTCAAAACAAGCTTCCCATCTTTGTTGTGGGGAACTCGTCAAGCTATTGTGCGTGAGAGACCCCGTTGAAGGGTATGAAATCGATTCTTGAGCGGGAATCTCCGATTGGCTGCAAAACCTCGAATTCCGACATACCCATGGGGTTTTCTTTATTCGGTGCCTTCGACTCCGCCGAGCGGAAAGAATCTCAATTTTATGCAGGATCATATTTTGGTGGCTCAGACCTTTCCTCGGGGCTCCGGAGCGCGCTTGACAGATTCGAGCGGCACGAGCACGGCGCTCTTCGAGTTGAATTCGGGACTCCAAGGTTTTGAGTTATTGCCAAAGAGATTGTGCATTCCATAGGAGGTCCTCGGCCGGTTTGGGTGCGCGAACAGCCTTGGTTCGGAGGAGGATCGAGTACATGGGCTTTCGGGCTGAAGCTGTCCCACCCTTTCCTTCGTGGTCGAAGATTTGATCGTGAGTTCACGCTCGCGAAGAAATCTACAACATACAATTGCCTGAGAAGATCATGACTCAAACCGCCCGAGCATCGGTATGTCTCGGTGCATGGACACTTCTTGCTCTCCACTCCATGTCGATGATGATTATGTCATCAATTTGTCGTCTCGAGATCGAGAAGAGTTTTGAGCGAAGCATCGGAGGCAGAGGGATCTCTGTCCTATTATATCTCTCTAGTCTGCGGCACTTTTCATCCCAGCTAGCCGCAGTGGAGGTACCTACGGAGAATAAAGTCGCGCGCACAAAGGACGCTGAATTCAGAGTTTCGTTTCTCAATGACGGCCCACCCTCGATTGGGGTCCTTTTCGGGAAGCCGACCGCATACGAATAGACTCCCCAAGAGGAATGGGAATCAAAGGCACGTTGGCGACTCACGACTCGGAGTAGCCCGGTTTCCATGGCCTCCTAATCTGCTTTCGGTCGCCAATGCAGTCAGTCTGCGTCAAGCGGGAGGACGTGCGGTCCGGCAGACTTAATAGTTCCCCCTTGGATAACCGATAGCCGCGTGGTCCCCAGTCCCCAGCAAAGGACTCGCTGATGGGTCAGCCCACCGATAAACGCTATGCTTTCATCAATACTCGCGGATTTCTTGTCATCATTAGGCTGCGAGGAGGGAACCGGTAGTAGGTCTACGTCGTTGTGATAGAGTTGCACACTACACATAAGTCTTCCATTTGATCGTGTCATCTTGCTTGGTCACACCTCGGGTCACCTCTCGGGTCACCTCTTTGCTCGAAAACGGTCCGATATGCGTCCGATCGTGGGGAAATTCTCCCAGCCAAGCGTCAATACAGAACGTAATACTCGCGTGAGAGAGGAAAATTACTTCCAGGAACTCGAGACTTCATAGAGGCTCCCGGGTCTCGCCGGATGCGCCGACTGAAGTTTCACTCGACCGTCAGCTCTATCGAGCTTACTCAAAATTCTCCGCGGGCTAAAATATCCTTCGCTCAACTCCTAGACCAGAGTATCCCGATCCCATATCACCGTACATACTATTTTCGAGCGCAATCTGTAAGAGCAGGAGTCTGTGTGGGAGAAAACAAGATATTCATCATAATAGGTAGTGTGATGAAATCGATTCAGTGAATACCTATGTACCTATCATTCTTCGAGTCTAGTTAGGGCACGATGCTCGAAGACTTACATCGTCTCAGGTACCGTTTTTTTTTCAAAGCATCTCTTGCCCGTCGATCGTTTCCGATTGACCGCCACCACGAAACTTCTTCCAATGCTTGTCTTGGACAAGCCTGGAAAGAGCTGCAGGAGCGGAAGCCCGAATCGTATCCTTTCTTCGCCAGCTGAGATTCTTGGGAGCGTTCCGGAATTGGATCCTTTGCCGAACGGGGCGAGCATTCTTCCGGAAGTTTTTTCTCTTCTGTCAATCATTTGAGGCTTTCTCGTTAGCGAGGTTGAGTCTGATCGCTTCTTGAGAGGATTCGAGAGCATCTACCTGGATTCACGTCTCTCTTGCCAATCTTAGACTCCATGAACCTGTCGAATGGGACATTGGCTTCGAAAAGCGCAATATTGCGTTGTCTATGAGAGATATCCCACCCTTTGCCGGGAAGGCGACTTCTGTCGATCGACAACTTGTCGTAGCCTCGAATAGCTTGTCGACTTCCGGAGCCGTCATTCACCAGTCGCTTGAAGCTCCTAAGTCATTCACGGGAATATTGCCGGAGCTTATGTGCGGCAGTGTGGCGCCTCGGAGTAGGCGCTCCGGGGTGCGCATCTCCGAGGATTCCATTCACGTTGTAAGAAAGATGTTGAGAAGGGGAGAATTTCGGTTCCGTGGCATCGATCGAAACAGTCTGGCATGGATGTTCTCACCGATGAGCTCGATGCTTTCATCCCGATTGAAGGAGGGTCATCTGCTCTGGCGAACCAACTTCGATACAATGCGAACGGTGATCGATGTCCGATGAGGTAACCAAGCCCGAGCTGGCGGAGTGTAATACAATAGCTGGAGCTCTGAGAAGGCGAAGAGTCTCGTGCTGAAAAGTGTTCGAGGCTTTTTTCGCGGGACGGAATTCTATCAAGTGGAGGGACGCGCCACCATTCGAGAGTCATCCGTCATATCTGGCTCGGAAGTTGAAAATTTCATTTTCCTCACGAGTCCAGTAGCAGCAGCAACAACATGACTCGGGTGGAGCAGTGCTCTGCGACCGCATGGGAAGTAATCCATTTTGTCACAGCCTTATCTGTTGCACGTCACTCAGATTGTGACACGCTGAGGGTCACGCGAGCGAGTCAATCAATGACAAAAACACGTTTCTGACAATATTTCGAGTATTATTCGCTTAACTCAATGTCGCCGCTGTTGTTGTTGTTACAGATGGTGTTTGTCGATTGCTGTACATCGAGAAACAAGCTTAGGCTCGAAACGACGAAGGAAACTACTGAGGACACTGTTGCTCGACCGCCTACGCATCGGTCCGCCCGCGCCGTCTGCTTCACCGCCGCCAACGCCGTCGCCGCCAACGAACCGACCATTCGATCCACTTGCCTGACTGACCGCCTGACCGACCGACCGACCACTCTGACCGCCTGACTGCGCGCAGACCGTCCACCCGAACGTCCGTCCGCTGAGGCTGTCGTTGACACATTGAACTAAATGACAACCGAACCAACTAGGACGAGTCGGGGACTATTCTGAAGAGCCGAATCCTGACATCGAAGTCTAATCGGTGCGAAGCTCATCGTTGAATCTTATCGCCTCCCTCCTTTCCACTATTGAAATCACCAGAGCATCGAACATGAACTATTGCGCCTTCCCGACAGCACCATAAATAGGGAGCAGTCTCTGATGGACACTCATCATGGAAGGCACTCCACATGAGGACGCTTAGGAGAGGGCCGTCGGAATAATTCTAAAGAATGCTTCACTGAGCAATTAACGCTCAAATTCCCAGCGCAGAAACAGTACAGTACGCGGCTCGAAGTCATGCAGCAGATCAGACCCGAACTGCAGCTGCCTACCCTGCACTCAGCCTGAGTCCGTTGTCATATGAGGAAGAAAACTAAAACAGCCATTCGATAACGTGACAACGTTCAAAAAAAAAGAACTCTCCTATTACCCAACACAACTCAACGAAATTTGTTCCTAGTCAAACGCAAGCACTTTCGGACCACGGGAAACCATGGCATTGCTCTACAGGTTCACGAGACTCAACGATAGGTCTAACACTGGTGAGTCAGACAAGGCTGATCTTGTAGCTGACGGAAGAACCGAGTGAAAAAGCATGGAAGAGATCGATTGCATGACGTCTCGATTTTCCAGGAATTTTCACTTTCATCGTGACGAGAACTGTGACGCGTGATTTGCATAGGGACGCCGTCACCAAAGACTTCGCCCACGGGTTTGTAATAATCTAGCCGTCTGACTTCTAGTTGAGTTTGTAGAGCCATACGAAAAAAAATCCTCTCCCCTCTCCATCACTGATCGGTGCGGGTTCGTCTGAATATTTCCCCGGGAAAAATTGCGTTGCGGACGGTGCTTTGGGAAATTACGTACGCTCCCGCATAGAATAGATAACGACAAGATTTCGAAAGGACACGGCTGAATTTTGTTCTGCAATACTCGATGGCATGCGAGGACGCAACAACCCGAAACAGGTCATTGCGACCTGGATTTTTGGGAAATTCTCGATCGCATATAAGAATCGACGTCGAGATCGCGTTCGTCACGTGTGCACGAGCGGATGGAGTAGAATGGGTGTCATTTCACGTTCCAGATACCATCGGTGGGCACTCTCGTTCTTGAGGACTGAGAAAACGCTCGGAGTTTTTCTAATCATCCGAAACCCTGCTCCGGGATCGAGGTAAGACACCATGAGCTTGGAATCGCTGGAAAAACTGTTTCTTTGTTCTGTCTCAATGTACGTACGTTTGTTTGTTTCTGATTACTTCACCGTCCCGTAACGTTTTCCGCTCTGTTCCACGGTTGAATTGCGCCGGCAGGTCGACAGCTTTGAGTTTGAATTCTCTCCCTGGAGCGAAATCTGCATCTGAAACCACTTTCGGACCGTTTCCTTCTTTATTTGGCGGTTCTTTTTCCTTCTTCTCTTGTGTTTTCCGCCCAGCTCCATTTGCGACGGGAGCCTTTCGGAGAATTCCTCACGGAACTTGTTTGAGTTAAGCTCGGGGGATCCGCTCGTACCTCAACCCCGTCCTGCCTAGACTGTCTCCATTTTTTTCTCTAGAGGGTTGGTTTTTTCCTCTAGACGAGACATTTCCTGCAGATGACAGGAGAGGCCTGCGACTGCTGCCGGTCTGTCGGGCGCTGGTTCTACTGTAGCGTCGAGCAGGACAGCACGAAATAATAAAATATGTATATCAACGATAATGGGAAGCAAGGGCGGGTCGCAGCTTTGAAGCGACAGATGGTTTCTAGCCGTCAACAGAAGCTCGAGGCTTCCGTGTCTCGTGTGTGTGTTGTTTCGAAGAAGCGAGCGCAACCTTCAGAGGTTTCTCGGGGAGTGATGACATCCGGAACGCGCTCACTTCACACATGCCCCGAGCAATGAGCTTCCCTCCAGCGAGAGCGGGTTGGAAGTACAAGTCGGTACAAGCGTATGAACACTGCTCTTTTATGGATGAGATTTGAGATTCGCTGTCAAGAAACTCGAGAGCAGCGAATAGACTCGACAAGCCTTGCCGTCGAAATGGAACATCTTTCAAAAGCGCGGCGTCTGCTCGTCCGTCTGAGTTTCGAGACACGGAGCTGAACCCGCGACGTGGGATCCGATTCCTGCGTCGTCGTTACAGACGCGGATCGCGTTCGGAGGAGAAATGAAACTTGGAACTTGACTGAAGCCGAGTCCTAATCCTGCGGCAGCACCGGTAGAATATAGCGCTCAGGCAAGATCGGAAAAGACTAGAAGTCGTATTAGGAACAAAAAGAGGAAGACGAAGAGCAGAGGGATACGTTGTTCTCTGCGCACTGCGGCGCCAGTCGTTCGGTCCGTGACGACAATCCCTAAGGCGCAATTTCAAGCCGACCGCTTCATCAAGCGAATCGCTCTCTACGCTCTCTCGTCCTAAGTGGAGCTTTGCTTGGAGTCCCCACGAAAAAACTTCCTTTGTTCATTCGAATGTCAAGTGCCCGCTCAAAAGACTCAAGCGCTGTCGCGTGTTTACGTGCTGCCCTGCGTGAGCCCAGGCGTGTCGAGCCGCCTCGAATCCATGGCCAACACGACGGAGACTTTTTCAATCACTCTCACTGGCCAGCAATTAATTACTGTCAGAAGAGTCATGACTCATGAGGAGCCATTCTGGAAGGGAGCCTTAGCCATGGCTTCCCTCGTTCCCCTCACTTCAGTCGTAAATCTAGAATATCAGGAGCTAGGAGGAAATTAGGAAGATGGAGCTAGGGAAGTCATTTCGGGGGTTCGGGAACTAAACCCCTGGACGAAATTTGTTCTTCACGAGTCATGACCGATTAAATAATTGTTCCTTCCGCTTGGGGCGTCCCAGCCTCGGCATCTCAAAACTCAGCACGGTATTCCAGATGCTGCGTCGACTTCACTCTTACGCTTCTGAACCGGGAGCACTTTTCTCGGAATGAATCATTATCCGAAAAACAGATAGCCTTCACAGTGGACTCCCCGGCACACGGAGCTGCGAAATGGCTCCCGCTGGCGGAACTGGCATCGAGAAGGTAAGGAAGAAGCCTGCGGTTCATTCTTCACTAAGTATGTGAGATCCGTCCGAGGGAGGAATGACGGGGAAATGGAGCGATGATCAAATACCTAGGTAATAAAGATCCCATAATGACGGACTCCGCTGTAGCTGAATGCGGAGAGAAGGCCGTCCACGGCCCCAGAGTCCCCGAACGGAGGGGTTCATCGTCAGCAGCATGAGCAACCCCTTGGTTAAAATCGACAGCGGAAGAAACCGAGCTACTCCGATCAAGCATCTTGAGATCATGTTTTCGATTCTGCAGGTTCGCCGACGAAACGGGCGAATTCCTCGTCGAGCTCTCCATGGCAAATGTGTCCACGATGTTCGACGCCGACATCAAGGTGAGGAGGAGCCTATCCCTCGCCGCTATCCGAGCCGAGATCTCTTCGTACACTTGCTTCCTGGTGCAAAAAACTCAATTCGTGTCTGCTCCAGAGAATTCGAGGAGTGAGCTCCCTCGCTTCCCTGAAAGTAACTTTCAACTCGGGGGCTTGGTCTGGCTTCTGCTGATTTTGCTTCTGTGGCTGCCTCAACGGAAGCGATTCAAGGTGCTCAGAGGAAGCTTCACTCTGTCACTGATAGTGAGCCAGGTAGTGAACGACTTGAAGAAGGAGCTCGCAAATCCAGTATAGAAATTCTCCGACCGCCTCGCACTCTTTCTTTCTTCCGGTGGATGAGCAATACCGCTGCTTGCTCGCCGTCCAGCACGCCCGCCCCCTGCCTGCCTGCTTGCTTGCTTGCTTGCCGCAGCAAGGTCCTCAGAGAACCGCCGCTCATCAAAACCTCATAAGCAGCGATGCGTCCACAGCCGCCACCGCTCGCTCACGCTCAATCTCTCTTCTCCTCAAAGAACTGACGTTGTTAGACCGTCATCGAGAGCGGAGAGGGATCTCGCACTTTGCGGAATTCAAACACGAGATAACTTGCTCGTCTCTTGCACGCCACATATTTTTTCCACTAATTACCCGACAGCTACCCGTAAGCGAGATCAACGTTTCAGGCGGGCTCTTCTCACGAACCTTGATCCGAGTCGAGTTGGAGTCGTGCGTCCCGACAATTCCTCCCCCCCCACCAATGGGTGGGGGGCGACTCTAATTTTTCTTCATTCGGAGAAAATATGTATTCCTCGCGATCTATTAGCGTGCCTTCCGCTCCCGCTTTTTGCTTACGCATTGCTCCTCGAATAATTAAGATGACTCCGATCTGGCAAAGGGAACCATGAGACCTCGGAGTTTCGCTTCCGATTTCTCAATGAGAAAAAGTCTGGTGATAGAGCCCACTTCGCCGAGTCTGCTGCTCGATTCTTGTCTGCCTTGAATACCGCTCCCATACCTACGAAACAGCCACGAGAGTTCAAACGACAGTTTGTACACTCAGGTACACACATGAGTGAGCTCGCACGGAAGCAACAAACCTACTCTTTGCGGAATTGGCATTCGACCGACGGCCTCGAAGAAGGCAGCTCGAGAAGAAACGCTCGTCTCCACTACGTTGTGTAGTCTGACGGCAATTTCCAGATCCGCTTCCAGCTTTGACATATCTGACGCTGACACGCGAACCAATCGATTCTGCGATCGGCCTGGCGAAAGGAGAAGCTTCAGACTCAGAGAGAATTCGCTCGACCAACCCTGCAGAGCCATTTCATGCAAACGAAAATAGGACTAACTTTCCGACGTACGATCGCGTCGTGAATATTTTGTCAGGAGAGCGTTTCTCCGGGCTTGGACTCCATGCTGGTGACATAAATTGAAAGTCCGGTCCGAGGACGTGAGCGGCTCATGAATGATAATAACACGCGAGATGCTCCATTCGGCCTTTGCCGTGAGAATCGGTTCCGAGAGGTCGATTCCTTCGACGTCACAGTGACTCCGGCTGACCGAATTCCTCCGCTCATGCTGCATTCTCTTTCCAGATCCCGTCTCATTTCCTTGGAAATCCTTTGGGCGTGGGCTACGATGAAGCCCGACGATATTCGACAGCAACCCAACATTCAGTCGCGTGAGTACGAGCACGGAGGCACGTATTTAATCGAAGCCGATCGAGAGCAGATTCTCCAAATCGAACTTCGGTCCATGTCTGAATAATTCTCGATCTCCCTTCTCCGAAGATCGACTCTCATTCTATTTCAGCATAGAATCTCCGTACCTGTCATTTGGGGGTTTCGAGTGGAACGTCGCTGTGCTCCCTTTCGGGAGCCCTTCGGACAACGAGAACCCCAGAGCACCAAAAGTACTACTTAATCGTCTTACAGGTGTGTAGGTTCGCGTCAAGTGAAGCGATCCGAGCAAGAATGGGATTTCTGAAAGACACAAGCCGATCTCGGTCATTGTTTATCAGTATTCACTGATCGGATTGAAGAGGCGTAGGAGTCCGACCGAGGGGATTACATTCCCTGTGGAATCTCGACTCGAGGGATAGTGCAGCGCGAAAGTACGCCCCTTAGGATTGTCGATATCCGTGTCGAGTAGAAAAGCGGGTCGGATCAGGAAGCATCGACTCCCAAAAAAGAGTCCGACGGAGAAAGGGCAGGTCCACCCACGTCTCAAACGAACCTAACCTGAGAGTCGGGGGAGTATAAGTGAAGCGAGGAACATTTCCATGCGGGCTACGTGGAGAGATAAAGACATACGATTGCCTTACTTCTATTTACCGAGGCCAAGCATTGCTCGCCGCTGAAGCACGGAAACGGCTTGTAGCCGAAGGTCCGCTTGCCAGACTCGCTCTCCATGCCCAGTCACCGCTGAATTCAGCGATAAATGATTCATGAACAGGTCCGATATCGGACGATAACACGAGGAGGAAACTGCCAGTGATTGCGAAGGGAGCCGCAGCGCCCTCTGCGCGGTACCGCAATCAAGAGAGAAAGCAGTTTGTTTTCTACCGCAATCTGAGCGAATTCGCATCAATGCAGTACTCCTGGATATCCGAATCTGGTGTGGTTTTTGACTCGAAGCTCCCGGTAGAGCTTGAGCACCGTAGACCGACGTCGGGTCAGACACTGCCCGATTCGAACGTGGGGCGCCGTTCCTCCTCCGAAATTGAGTTAAAGGATCCCGGTGTTCAGTTCGAGGCGGAATCGATGTCCAGTCGTTTGACCTCCCGACCCCCATGCCTCCGTGTTCGGCCGTCCAATGAAGTCCTTTTTAGCAATGCGAGACAGAAGCTGGAAATACCCGGCGGTTTCCAGGGCGGAGTCAGGGGAATGAGAGGAATACGCATTCTCTTGAAGATACCCCAAAAATCTCCGAATGAATTCGTCGCTTTTGGACAAGAATTCACTGTCTGCACTGTCGACCGGACGGGATGAATTGTCGATGCCATTGAGTCGTCAACCTCGAACGGAATTCGGTGTCCTCGGGACGGGATCGGAGATAATGCCTCGATGTCAGATGTCGAATGCGTTCGAATCATTCCGCGCAGTCCTAAAAATATTGCCCTCGACGCTAATGTTCAGTCGATACACAGAGGATCGCGAATTCGGAACCTAGGAATTCGGAAGCTCTCAACGCTTCATCCGATACTTTGCGGACGGCAACATTCATTCATCTTACCAATTCGATCTAGGTTTAGTTTGTTTGATCCGCGATGCGTAGAGAGCGATAACTCTATCTGCTTTTGCGGAGAGTACCATTAGGGGAATTCGGGGATCTGGGACGAATTCGCGGTAATTAAACGTAGTGAAGCTCGTTTGAGACTCTACGAATTACTCTGATTGATTCGCAGGTTTCGACCATCCGTGTCGGGTACAGTATCGACTCGTGCTCGGCGATGGAACGCAAAAGGTAGAATCAGGACTTTTGGATCAGATCTCCGACCTCTCTGGAAGAATTCGAGGATTCCATCTGAAGGTGAGGCTCCGCCCCCGTCCCCCTCCGTCTTCCCGTACCGAGCGGGACAGTATCTTATTCCTTTTCCTTACCTGCCCCAGGGAGTTACTTCAATCAGAGAATTGATGTCACACCGCGCAGGGTCGCTGCATGTTCACCTGCAAATGGTCTCGGCAAACGTCATCTCGGAAGCCAAAGTACCGATACAAGGCATTGTCAATACACAGCAAGGTAAGCGCAGACAAGGGGGTCGTGTCGTCACCGCTGTCGAGCGAATGCGTTGATGACTCGCAAACGCGTGTCTCGCGAAAACGCCCGAAAGAGAAAACTCCCCACGGGCCGCATCAACGGCAACTGCGCCATGAACAACAGGAACAGAGCCACGATTCGAGCGGTACCTGAACGGGGCTGTTGCGACGATCCGTCACGCCACAGCCGGAAACAGCCGCGGGAGAGAATTATCGTACCATCGCTTTGATTATCGCGATCATCTTTGTTCTCGTGTCGATCGGATCAAAGAAGAATCCGATACGATTCAGGGTGAGGCGAGAGCGCCTCGAACACCTGGCAGGTTGACAAGCAAGTGAAGACCGTGCCCCTGCTTGAGATAAATGCAATGTTCCGCGAACGTAAGATGGAAAGTCGGCGGCGAGAACCTGAGCTTTTTCCCGACTCAGGAGCGGACAGCATCGCAATGAGTCAGGCGGACAGGTGCAAGACGGGAGGGGGAGAAATTCCGCCGTTCCTGTTCCCCGTACTCGCAAGCTGTTCGTCAATGCCTCCTTATCGCACGCTGCATCGCGTGCCAGTTGAACGACTGGTTCGTGTCAGCGGTGAGCAAGATACACTAATAAGCGATGCAGGTTCCCTGACTACAATCCATCTTGTTCCATCCATTGACGACAGACCTGCACAGCTGGCGAGGAAAGCCGTCGTGCAATTGACCGCTCAGGCGGTGACAGGCTTCCGATTCTTGCGGATTCACTATATTCTACGAGAGCTCTGCGCCTTCGTGCGAGAGAGTCGCCGAGTCAACTGTATACTAATACGGTAGTACTGTGTCACGGCCTCCACGTATCGGAACATGGATTCCATTGAGGCAAGAAATATCCTTCATCGAGCAGAGAGGCGTTATTGTCCCCGAGCCGTGTGGTTCACATGTGACAGAGTGTGAACACGGCGCTTGTCAACACGACAAACGAGGAGAAAGTCTCTCGGATTTGGCGAGTTTTCGTCATCCTGCCGGGTTTGGCACAAGCAGAAGAATCGCCGGGCTCAGCGCACACGTCGGCCGTGTATTTCGACTGCTACGCGATTGGATGCGAGGCGAAGCAGATCCTTTCATGGCTCCGAGAGTCCGACGTTCGTTATTAGACATTTTCCGTGGAAATCGCATGCAGGAGATCTTCTCTATCAGTGACCGATGCGATCGGGTTCTGCACTTGGGCATAATCTCCATCACCACAGCTATTGTTGTCCCAAAGTGAGCCAAGCATGTCGCTGGAAGGTTTAGTACGTGTTTTCTATTCGACGGGCGCCGACCAACTCAATCCGAGCTGGAGGGTCGACAATCGACAAACGATGAGTCTGGCAGGGGAACCTTTGTGGAAATGATGTCATTGAGAGCCCGCAGGCTCGATGCCTTCAACCGGCAGTCTTTGAGGAGATTTTTTGTGCTGTTCGAATCAGATGAGGGAAGCAAAATAGTTGGCCGAACGGAACCTTAAAAACGCCGGAACAAAGTTTGATGCAAATCAGGACGGATCCCGTCGAGCCGCTGAGATGGTGAGACCATCCGAAATCAGTAGACTTTGGAATCCGGTGGCGGGAAAGGGCGATCAGTACCGAATGATGGGCATGTTCGACATGTGTCGGGAGCTCAAATGAGACTATCATCATCCCCCGGGTCGAATCTCCCCTCCTGCGAATTATCCTCTCCAGACGCTCGAGACTCGAATGGTTCCTCACGCAGCGGGATCTCGAGTCGAGCAAAGGAAAAATACCTTCCGTCGCTCAGAAGCGCTCTGAATCGAATCCTGGAATATTCTACGTATCTTCACTATCAGACGGACATCCCTGCTCCGAATGAGTCGACGGGTTCGACGATCCTTCGTAATCGTTTTTCGCTATCTTCCGTCGTCGAATCGATTGGGCAGCAGATGAAATGCCCCAGGGAAGGCCGACGGGTATGAGAGAGTCACGTCGCTCTTCTCCTTGGATTCCGCACTCAAGTTACTGGACGCCCGCGCCATTTCAGAAAGTATCCTTCCGGGAGACATACCTCCGGTGGGGAATATCCGACGGGCTCCACTTGGGACGACGAGTGTTTCCATTCAAGAGATCGAGAAGATTTCCATTCACCCATTATCTGTGAGCACAATGATCACTCTTGAGAACACTTCCCGGTGTGGATTGGAATTCTCAGAATATTCATAGATCGATCATCAACCACGTCGAGGACTTCCCCTGGGGTTTCGGCCGACATGATATCCCCGGAGACAAGGGGCTGAGTCCATGGAGGCCTGGGAGCGCCTTCCGGATTTTCCCTCCCGGATCGCTGGTGCGGTATGAGCTTCAGGTCCAACGGTCGGATCGTCGATTATAATTGACACATAATAGATCTTCGCTCGTCATCGGTGTGAAGGGGCGATCGATTCATGATTTGCGGTCTCCCTGTGCGAATTCGTGAAATGTGCGGCCGCATCCTCCTTGCTCCTAGCGGAGCTTCCCTCGCACACCTCGGGGAAAAATTCACTCCACAATTTCCGTAGTACGATATTCGTCTATATCACGTCTTCCTTGTTGATTGTTCCCAAGGAATCTCAGCGCTCGTATCTCTCTACGCTTCTCACGCAGCGTCAGAGGTCGAGCCTCTTCGGTTGCATTCGATCCTGCCTTATCGTTTCGTATTTCCAGGTCTGAGCGCTTCGCCGGCGTCGACAGCGAATTGCTACGATAGAGATAAGCAAGCATGGACTGTGGAAACCGATTTCGAACGAGATTACCTCCGTCTAAAGGTGAGCTCCGATAGGTTCCTAGCTCTTCGCACATATCTGTACTGAAGTTGTGCGAGCCAGAGGCCGATTGTTGCCAATCGGGCTTCTGGTAATAAGGTAATGAGACGATACAGCTCCGATGGAGTGTACACAGACGATCGAGGACCGTGAATAACACTACTGATTTCTCCTTCTCCCTCTCCATCATCGCCTTCGTCGACTATCCCAATGAAGCTATTCTACGCCGATATGGGAGCCGTCCCGAGGAATCATTTACGTTTTGTTGCTTGGAATACGTGAGTCTCGATCTGGTGGTTTCTTCCCGCTCTGCCCAAACTCAGAGATATATTAAGCCTCTTTTTTGTGGCTTTTGTCCCTGTTGTGAAAAGTTCCAGCTCGAGAGGAACGAATCTGTTCAGTTCCTTCCGCCGAAGTTCCGAATGGTTGTCTCGCGGGCGAGACGCTACTGCTTCACTGCTTTCTAATAAGGAGGATTCCCATCTTGTAGCCCTCCCCTCAATTCTCTTTTCTCGACGCCCACAGGTACGTGATTCGAGCTCCTCCAGGCGGTGGGAAAGAAAGCGTGTTGGCCGTAAATGCACCTCACTCAGCTTACTACGTGCAGGACGGAATGGATCTGGGAGTTCTCATAGACGTGGACATTCCGACCAGAGTGGTAGGTGGTCCTTTTAAGAGGCATCGACGTGAGGGCGCTCGAAATCCTTCCCGGGCTCCTCGCACGAGTACTGAGGCAGGAACCCGTCGTGCAAAGACATTCGGATCAGCGCGGTCAACGTTCCTCTCCATTGGTTTTTCTGCTCAAAGTACTGCCGATGGAAGCTTTGTTGGGACAGGGATTCTCCGTCGATTTCGGCTCATCGGGAATGGGGTGGATCGCCGGATAGTGAATCTCTTCGCAGAACATTCGCCCTAATACTACATAATGCATGCGGTGCTTTCAGCTTCGCGAACAACTATCTCCGTACGTCGACTCGTGCAACCAGCTCACCATCCATATCGAATGGCTTGAAAACCACCTTCTTTTCGGGGCCAATTACCATCGCTACGATGACATCGCGAGGATTCATCAGCAACAGATGAGGTGGGTATACCAATCAATATTCCCGTCGACTCCACAGGAGCCCTTCCTTCTTTCTCGGGGACCGGTATCTACCGTTTCTTCGCTCATCCGGGGAGGGCGAGCTTAGAGTTACTGAAGCCCTTGATAGCGACGTCATCCGATTCGTGACGACTCGTTTGGAGAACGTCTCGATTGTCTTTCCTTCCTAGATCGTCGCTTGGTGAAACGACCCTCCCGGGAGAATAGTTTCTAGGTCGTCTCGAGCTCCCGCGGAGTTTTCAAGACTGATTAAGAATATAAGAGCTCTCCCCTGCACCGACCAGAGACAAACGGATTTTTCGGAATGAACGTCGCGCGCGTAAGATGATGGGACCAGAGAGCGACAGCTTGGTATGAAGTCTCCGATACTCGAGTTCCCGCGTGCATCCAAAGTAGTCGAAACACTTCGGTATATCCCTCGCACGCCATCAGCTCCCGAGATTTCAGAACGGCCCGGCATGCATCCGGTGGATGGCCGAGGACGGATCTCAAGGGAGAATTCGGCGAATACTGTCATTCGCAGGGAGCATTCCCGGCGCCCTAAGCCTACCTGCGCTGTGCAATCCACCGGGAAGCATAACTCTTGACTTCTAAGCAACTCGCTCAAGCGTCGTGAAAGCCCCCCTGACGATGGCAGCTCCCGACGATTTCCGTACGAGAGCGAAAATCCTTCGCTCTTTTCCTGGAAGTTTGGAATGAGACATCGGACCTTTCCGTTCAGTGTCTATTGGATATTCAACTCCCTGTGAGGGTGTGCTGAAATCATCCATTGTGGAAATTCAGTTCAACGCTCCTCGAGAGGAGCTCCTCGGTGAGGTGGTGAAATAAAAGTCTGCAAGAAATCGATCGAATTCCGATGTCCTCGAGTTTTCGATCACGCTTTTATGTGGTCCATAAGACAATGATATTTTCCGCATGGAGTTGTCGTTGCCTTCGTATGGCGAAGAATAGAACCGAGGACGGCATTCGATTGCTTGCGACTTAGCGCGAGCGCTTTCCGTTCCCCTTCTTTTCCCGCGCAGACGGAGCGAGACTTGTGATGGCTATAGCCTCCATCCTGATCTGGCAGGCTGGCGGCAAGCACATCTCCATTCTCGATCGGGTCTTCGACGGCCTCGGCATCGATAGGCAGTTGTCGCTGGTGATCTCAGCTCTTTCCTTGGGCACGATTTATAATCAACAACGACTGTGCGACTGTTCCCAACACTGCTCCACGGCTAGCACCCTCCTCTGAGCTCTCCCCTATCTCGGATGTTCTTCGGAGCTTCCGTCAAGTGTATTCCTCGCTGGGAAGAGAATCAATTCGTACGCAGCGCCTCCGCTTGTTCTGTTGTAGGGTATACACCGAGTGCCGAAATTCCTCTGGCGGCTACGCTAGTTTTACACGAACAGAGCTGGAGGACCCAGGTGGGCTTCGTTTATAGTCCCTTGGACAGGTCATAGAAGGTGGTTGGTGACAAGGTGACTGGCTGACCGAGCAAGCAAGCGAGCGAGCGAGCAACCAGCCAAGCGAGCGACCGTCTGTGCCACCGGCGCGGCGGAGCTCGCCCTGCAGCCCGCCTGCCCGCCTGCCCACCTCCTAGTGGACAGCCAGAGCAGGCTCTATGCAGTGTCTTTGTTTTTGTTCAAGAGTAATTCGTCCTGTCGTCCCCACAGGCAATTACGAATAGCCATTAGGCCTTCGCTTCCGTTCTTACTCAACTCAGGGAAAAAGCGAGAGAAAAACGTGGGGACAAGAGCTGTCGCAGCAAATGCAGATCATGGACAAGAAGTTGCTTTCGGTGGAAGGTATAAAAAGCAGGAGGGCCCTCGAGCCCGAAACAGGCTAAGAAATTTACAGTCGGCTCCAGAACGCATTTCCATGCATACATTCCGGACGTCAAGGGATCGTGAAAAACACTCGCGGAAGGAGCCCATCATCTAGTGAGCGGTCTGTTGACATCGCGAGCTGCAAACGTGGAGAACTGCCGCACAGACAGGCTCGGTCGGGGAGGCGGGATCCTGCCCGCTCGAATGACACCCCGGGTGGCCAGAGGAAAGCAGAAAAAAAAACGCCGTCCCACGAACTTCATTTCCATAAAGTAAACGAGCCGTGTCACCTTGACGCGCACCCGAGAGTAGCCTTAACGCTCCAAACGCTACCTCGAACACCTCCTCGCTCTGCGAATTCCTCCTTTTTCGTCGCTACCTGCGAGCCGAATCGTTACCTGTATGTTGTGATGAAACCTGGTCTCGTTCCACGCCTCGCGACTTAGCCGCCGGGCGAGTGGACAAGCAGAAACCATCTCCACGCCCTTCAGAGAGAGCCGCTGCACTGCTCTTAGAGACTCGAGACACTTCAAAGGAGTTCGTATATTAACCACACAAAGCTTCGCAACGAAAGCTCTTTTGTGCTGCGATATCTGAGAGAATCACGGCGACAATGTCGAACGTAAAGCTTCGGAAACTCGCTGACATTACGTCACTTGCCCTACGGAAGAAATCGAGCGGTGTACGGTAATCTCCTTCAATTCCGCAGTTCAAGTCTGGCCAATGGAGTGGTGGAGTTCGAGAACCGTGGTGGGCCTACAAGCGGAAAACTCACAGCGAACTTAGAGGAATAAAACTTTTTCGACGGGAGATCCCCTCGAGAAGTCTCGTTACGCTCTTTGAGCACCCAAGCGTGATCGGGGTCGGGCGCGAGCACCACGTTCGAGTGAATCTGCGAAACGTGCATTGTATTGCCGGCAAGGCCACGCAAGGGAACGCGAGTGTCAATACACGATGCTTCTTCGAACGGCCTTCTCTTCTCAGATAATGTACTTTCCATGTTGCTCCGTTCAAGAAGCGACTACTTGCTTGGTTTGTTGGCTCTATGTAACTCGATAAGCGCACCGAAGTTGCGGTTCCCGGAGTGGACATTTTTCTCTGGGAAAACAAACTGACGGGTCTACTGGAATGAAAGTTGCTGCACCAGGCAAGAAAATGTCATCCAGCCGCTCCTGGTTCTTATCTGCGCTTCTTCCTTGGCAACGATCTCGCCACGGTCAACTTGAGTAGGGAGTCTGGAACATGTCAAACAGCTTGGCACAGATGGAAATTCAATGCCAGGCCACATGAAAGAGTCGACCAGTACAAAGAAACCCAGCGTGAGGCCCCGGCTATGGGTTCGAGGCATAGTGAACCGCCACAGCCTTTGTCAGCATTACGATATACGCGATCAGCCGGTCCCGGGTCGGAGATATCCTCGGATACCAATCTCGGCCTCCATGGAACGAATTACTTCAGTCGGGGACGCCTGCTTTGTTTATGGCCTCATAAAATGTGTCCTTGTTGCGTAAGCGCGGACGGATTCCTTGTGATTTCCGGTCTACTGCTTCAGATACTTATGGGGGAGACGCGAGGATTTCCGCTCGCTTTCGGCAATGAATCCCTCACGAAGTCGACCTCGAGACTCCCGTTCAGGGACGTACAGCTACGGCCATATTTCACAAAGACGAATGATTGAAAATTCATTCCACAGACGTGAGGTAGCCGCTCTTCAATCCGAAAACTACAACCTCGAGCGGCAGGTTTTCAGCTATCAGAAAAGCATTTCGTACGCGAACACGACGAGCCAACCGCGCATGCCAACGATGGTCAATCATCAACCTCCGCAACAGGTATGTTTCCTCGGGCGAGCGCCCGAGATTTTCCCTCCGATTCTCTCCGAGTCAACGCGGAGAGGCATCATTCCCTCGCCTGCTCCCGAGTCCTAAGCTGTCGTTACATGTCAAGGCAATTTTGGAGAGTCTATAAAAAAAAATTCTCGTTTCCTCCCCAAAGATGCAACTGCAACATCGAGGAGCCCCTATGGGACAACTAGACGAAGATGAACAAGAGTACATTTCGAGAAGGATGGCCGAGTTACAAACTGAAAGTGTACTCGGGGCTACGAACGATGAACACAATTTCGTCTGAAACCCAATCGATCATATCAAAACACAGGCGCCGTACAGAACTGCATTGAGTGCGCGAAGCATGTTAGAGAGATCGCTGCTACGGAGCGATCACAAAGGCAACAGCTGCTTTCAGATGCACGATATATTCGTGTAGTTTAGATTCTTGGAGTGAGATCTCGCTGAAGCAGGTAACTGATCGAGGAGCTATCGATTATCGTTGATTGACTACCCGAAGGAACACACATATTTCTGGAAGAAAGAACTCAGGAGATTCCATCGCTGCTTCGGTCATTAGAGTCGAGTTTGTGCTCCGCATGGAATGGATGAGTCGTTTGAAGTTGTGAGATCAAGCTCGAACAAGGAATTCCCTCATAAGCGAAACCACGACAAATTCTACAGCAAACAAAGACTAGGTTAGTGACCCGCGGGCCCTGTTTGCAATAATTTCTCACGACACGGGACCCGTATTCAGCCCAATATTCTCTTACTCGGTGTAGCATAGAACTAATCCCGAGACGCCAGCTTCTGGAATCCGCTCTTGATCAGAATCGGAACCCGCGACCTCTTTCAGCCCAAAGCATGAATTGCAAGCCTTCCAAGATTAGGTATTTACACCAATTTCGCTGAGCCGCAGCACCGGTAGCATTGTCGAACAGCCTAGACATTGTGTCGCCGGTTCCTAATCGTTTCGGAATTTCGACTTTTCCCTCTGTGGGGAATTCGAAGCCACGCTAAGGCCAAGAACTGCATTTCCGTGGAGTATTCCTCACTCGAGGAGTTGATTGAGGGAGTCTTTTGACCAGCTGGGTATGTTCTCGTAGAGCTTTGCCATTCCCGATGAAGTGCCTCTGACCCCCCGGCTGTACAGCTCGAGCTGTTCCGGAGAATTTTCTTCCTCCAAGTCCAAAACAGAGCGGAGAGAAACCCAAATGTGCAGCTAGTTGGAGCTATTATCCGAAACAATCTACCTGATGTAACTAAAAAGCTGATAACTTAGGCATGGGCGAGCCCAAAGAACAACTATGGATCCCGAAATCCGTAACTTTCTTTCGGTCTAATTAGCGGAGACCTTCATGACTTAGCGCCTTACCTCCCCGATCAATAATATTCCGCATCGTTCGCGGAGGGGCATCGATCCCTCTCAAAGCTGGGAATATATTCTTCTCTTACTTTCTCCGGACAGTCATGCTTGAGATATCGTCTCACAATCAGATTTCGACTCTCTTCCGGGACATCTGTACTTTAAGGTCCGTTCGGTACCTGGGGCGATTCCGATGGTTCCAGGACTTCCCCCTCCTGCAAACCCGTGCTGATAATCGGGAAAATTACACGAGAGAGGTAAATTTAGTGAATTAGATCCAAGTTGGAGGCAACATACGCGCCCCGCACGTCGCAAGGTGAATTCAGCCATTACCCTCAACAAGCCAAGTTGCAAAAACGTCATCGATTATAATTGATGGATGAACGCAGCTCTTGATGATCGCAACATCGAGAATGAATGCATCATGACGTACCCTCTATGATAAGTATTGCATTCAGCAATCGCTAGGCTGTAGCATGGTTCGTTAGCAACGAAAAATCGGTGCGTTGGGATTGAGAATCGATTAGATTGTCTGTTCACCTCAATCATCCGGCGGGGAACATGCAACAAGTCACTTCGGTTTCGATGATTCAATAAAAACAACAAGTTCTTGATCGCTGAAAATGTTCTCGTTTTCACTGAATAAAGGCTCCAAACTATCCATCGCTCGACCGTGCTATTTGCGGCGAAAACTTATGCCCGCGAATCCTCGGGCAACAGAAACTCTACTCCCTCTGCCATACGGAATGCGAGTGAATTGACAGGCTGGGACGATTCCTCACGGACGAGATAGACAAGAATCACCGCGACGCGAGCGGTAAGGTATCGGAGCCATTCAGAGTGTCCAAGAATTCCAGAATAAAAAAAGAACGAAATCGACACACAACTCGAGTCTGCAGAGGAGAGCAGGAAATGTATTGATTGAATCAGGCTGAATGGTTCCGAATGGCTGGAGCAGGAACTTATTTAGATCTAGGTCTCTTCCGAGTGCACTGAATGAAGCGGAGGGGTCATTGAAACTGTGACTGCAATTAGATTGAAAGAGGAGGAACGATCCCCGAATCTGCTGACGGACAGAACCTTCGTCTCAGAGTAGCTATATCTGAAGAGGTATCGGTCGTTCCCATCCCACAGATGTTCTACAGAATCTGGGAGGATCTGTATTGACAGCAAAACTTTGAGCGAGGTCATTCCGAAGAAACGCTCGACCTGTCGACTCGGAATCTCTATCGAGGTTTTCCCAATCAGATACGATACCCGAGGGCAGCGAATTTAGGCCTCTCGAGGCATGCCCATCGGCAAGGTTTTTATACTTTTAGAGGAAAAAGTCTTCATACTGCAAGCGGCTGCTCGAATGGGAGCAGAGTAGATCTCGAGCTCGGGCAAACAAAGGCCTCGAAGGTGTATGATCGGAAAGGGCCGACAAAAGGCGGGAGAAATACGTAGATAGACAAGACAGGTGCCAGGAAGCAGGCCTGCTCCTTGCTGGCAGCTCTGGGAGGAAGGAGGGCGCCGCGGAGCAATCGAAGGATATGGGAAAAGAGCAAACGCATGCGGAATACGTGATGCCCGCAGGTATACGCGCGCTCATCCACGTCGAATCGAGCAACCGTTTGAGATACTTGAGTTCTGAAGCGTATTTCCCGGTGATAGGTCTAGAACACGCGAGCAGAATTTTCTTCCAAGGATTCCTCTCCGGGCACTCACTCGAATGAATTGAAACGGATTGAATCGGACGCTCTGAAGGCTCGAGAACAGGGGGAAGCCCCAGCAGCTCGATCTTGTTGATCCGGGGATCACATCCGGGATGCCAACAACGCGGAATCCAAGATGACTTCGAAAATCAGAAAAGTGGCGCGACGCGAAACTCGTGGGGCTGAAAGTCCGCTGAGGAGTTTTCTCCTCGGGACCATGATTATACCTATGTGGCGGGAAGCAGTCGTTATTGAGGAAGGTAAACATGAATAACGAACCAGTCATGAGTTCGGCAAGCTTGGTTCCCGCTTCCTAATGGATTTCTCGCGGGGAAGCATTCCCGTGGATCCTTCTTTATGGAGAGCCCAGCGGAAGAGCCTCCAGTCGTAGAAGAAACTCCAGGGTTGGCTCAGTCTCCTAACTGGTACCTTCGAGGAAATCCGATCAGACCTTCCCTCAATCATTAATCTTCGGGACGCATTCGTTGAGTCCCTGTCACCGCATCTCGGAGAAGAATTATGTTCCTATTTTGACTTCAGGATGAGTAATATCGGGCGCCATACTGCCTTTACAAGAGCTGAGACCGACTCGGGCATTTCTCCGGGCGCCGACCCGGCTCAGTGACCTTTACGTCCGTACCGCCGGCTTAAGAAGAAAACCAATGTACGCGAGTGGATCAAAAGCGAGACCTGTATGTTTTCCCGGGACCATTTTCGGGCCTCCTCTCGATCGAGGATGGAGCACGAGCGACGCCTCGAGGACCGCTCCGCAACGGACCGACTCGTTGGTCGAGTCGAACAGCTGCTCAATGCTGTGGGGAGATCATCGTCGTGGACGAACTTGGCGGACTGGTTTTTCGGGAGGCTTAGTACATGGCAAACACCATCGAGCTTCGCATCTGTCGAGCTAACAACGTTCCACTGGTGGTTCTTCCCAGAGGAGCGATCTACCTAGGACAATGCGCGATCGAGGCTGTTATTCTGTTTTTCAAACTTAACGACCTCCCGATAGAATGTGTCGATCTCAGTGCTGCTTCGATCCCAAGCGCAGCATCCCGTTGACGGAGGTTGGCAGTTTCGGAGCCGATACTAGCCATCGTGATTAGTGCCTTCAAGACACGTAAGGCCTTCGTCATCAACACTATCAGAGAATACTCACCACGTATCGGGAATGCCTATCACATTTAAATGGTGATATTCCTGAATCCAGGATTGGTTCGAGCGAGGGGGATTCTCCTAGACGCCCGGAGCGAACGTCCCGTAAGACCTGATATCGGAAGCGTGAACTCCCCATTAGAGGATAAATTCTCTGGTGTTCCCACCCCAAATTTCGCATCAGGCGGACGGAGTTTCGAGGTCTCAGAAAACGAATGCCATGTCTTCCTTTTCGGTGTGAAGAGTCCGTGAAGAGGCGTCCTTTGGCGATACCTCGACGGACAATCGTTGGATATGCCGCGATGAAACTTTACGCCGCAACGACGACCGATGTCCTTCGGCCGAGTTCGAGTGCCGTGTTGAATTTTTGCTACACTGCTTGTTACTCCCCATCTCCGTGTCCCTCCACCACGAGTCTCTCATGACGATATCTGATGTCCCGACCGCTTCGTTCGTGAGGATCCGGTGCGTAGGCGTCCTTCGATACATATTCTGTGAGCAAGCTACCCGGGTAGGGTGCCATGAATCGGATCTCCACCGAACTCTACAGTGGATGAGACTAATCAAAATTACAGGCGGGAACAACGGCCTTGTTGCTCGCTGGAGAATCTTGGAGAGACCGAAAGGTCCTCCCAAAGGGATTTCTCGGTAGTCTGAGGTCTAACTAATCACAAGCGTTCGTATTCACTCCTCGATGACCGCGCAGCTTCAGTCGATCGCGCCCGATCGAATACCTCGCGCGTGTTAGTCGCTTATTGAACCACTTCTGCCTCAAAATTTGATATCGGAAAAGCGAAGCTCCCCTCCGCTCTGATGGCCGTTGGACGCGCTGCTATTCTCGGATGAGCATATGTATTAGGTGGGGAAATGGAGGTCGGCTAATGTTCAATCCGTCTTCAGAGCTCGGAATCATCGAGATCTCAGCCGACGCGTTTCATTCCGGCACCGGCGATATGACGACGCTATTTCGATCTGGTGGATCAGATCTTCGCAAGTTGTGACCGAAGCCGACCGAGAATGAAGCTGTATCGGGATGAGGCCAACCTCACATAATTATTCCTGACGCGTTTTCTGGGATCCGATTCGTTC